TTGATATTGTCGCGTTCGGCGATGCTTCTTGGAGTTGAACGTGTTGCTTCTTCGCTGGATGCGGCAATTTCTCTTGCACTGACAGCAAGGCAGCTAGGGTGAGACTGCTGTCAATAGTTTTGCAGAGTTGATGAATTGTGTGGTGCGCCAATATCTAACAATATTCTCATTTTATGTGGAACTGCCCCAAGTTTGTCGAAGAACCGATCATCGATGCAACTCGTGTGGTCCACCCACTGTCGAAGCTTGTTACAGAGCATTTCGTGGCGAATACTGTGAGGTGAGAAGATGATGAAGTATAGCCTACAGTGCCAAATATTCATAGCTGTATTGTTCGCCGCGGATGATGAGGCGTGTCAGCGCAGCGTTCTCCACCAAGTGCTGAAGGGGGCAAGTGTCAACAAGTAGTGGAAACTTGATACGAACGATATGATGCAGTAATGTCGAAGAAAAGAAAAATGGTTTGGCGCACGCCAAACGCAGCCGCGCTGGCACTCCTCATCATACGCTGCGAACGAGACTATACGATTCCAAAGCTCTGTACATGTGAGCTGCTTACATATGAAACTGCTTGCAGTTCTGGTGGTGATTCTACAAGAATCAAAGTCTTCACAGGACCAAATGCATGCGGCAAGAGTATTTACCTGAAACAGGTAGTGTTGATGTGCACGCTTATGGATCTCATTTTCCACTGATTGCAGTTTTGAGAATGTCCTCAAAATCGGCGATATTGTGGTTGGGAGGAAGATAGCACACGCTGGCGCGACGAAGTTTGCTCCTTGTTCAGGAACGAGGTCCCGCGGACTCTGGTGCAGGCTGCATCATCATCGGCATGGGTGAAATGGCACTGTCAGTACCCCCCGCCCCTCCTTCAAAGTTTTCCTGCTTCGGTATTAGCCTCTTTCGCAGCCATCATTCTATCGTACCAAATTTTCTCGGAATTTTGTTGTCGAATTGTCGGGGGGTGGACAAGAATTCAGCGACGCCACCAATTTGAGGTATACAGGGCGCGTGAAATAGTATAAATCAGCAATTGCGAGTCGAGCTCTCGAGGCCACAGGTGACCTTCCTCCCT